AAGTCGTTAGGGGTGAGCACAGAGAAGCAAAGATTAAGACACAGTTCAGTGTGGCCAGCCAAGCTGCTGTGGAATCATTTTGTCTCTGTCTCTATCCTGTTGTCTTTGGTTTCAGGTGCGGTGTGTGTGCTGTGTCTCTGTGAGAACAGCTCATACAACAGCCACCTGATATCTTTCCTCTTTGTCTGTCTGCACATAGGACAGCTGAAGAGCTATGGGCAGAGACTGCAGAAATTCCCTGAGGACTGTACAGTGCTTGCCTAACAATCCCGGGGCCTTTGCTCTGCTTCCCTGTAGAGAAGTGGGGGGGAAATCTCCATCCTCTTGGCTGTTGGTCGCTAGGTGTGACTGTCCCAGGGATTGGAGGTTCCATTGTCTCTTCCGATCCTCCACTCACATGTGTAGACTTCATTCAGCTTGTTTTGACTCTAGTTTCCAGCAAGGCTGCTGAGTCAACACCACATCCCTTCCCTTTACACTCAATGCAAAGCCCGGTGAGAAACTGAGACACACATAGGAATCATGGAAATATTACAAAAATGTCCTCGTTCATCACAGCATAGAATAGGAGTTTGAGGGTTGGACGGACTAGAGAGAGGCCTTTATGTTCAGTGTGCGCTTCATGGTGCTGGACTGCTAGAACCAGCTGTCTGAGGAGAGGGGTCAGGGGGATAGTAGGAAGGAGGTGCATTTATGTTCCATTAGGAGCTGAGTGCTGCTGATCTCTTGAGTCCCAGCATGCTGGTTAGGCATGATGGGGTAAAGTATGCGTGTGGTATGCGGCTTCTGACGAACAAATGGAAACCAGTGTTAGTACTTGACTAGCTTATATGGACAGTGTCTAATGCCAGTAGCTACAGGAGGGTGGGTGACACTCCCTGTGTGTGCAGTGGAAGGGGCCCTTTCAGTAAAACCAGGGCTGTAGGGCACTTCAGCATGTGTCCGTTCCCTTTGGCACTCCACGGTAGTCTAACAGTACAAGTGCTGGGATGTTAGGTTGCTTCAGTCCTTCCACCCTGCACCTTTTTCACAAATATTGTTAGCGTTATGGCCGTGTCATTTCACTTTTAACAGCGACATGACATAATGTCCTACAATAAATCCACCCAAAAGGTCCCTTCAGGAAACTGCTCAGTGGAGATCTCTAAACCTGACCACCACCATTGCGCTGCAGGGTCAAGTAAAATAACCTACGCTTTACTGTGTAACAGGACGTGAACTCTGAGTCACATGGAGATGAGTATCCAAACATAAAGAGCAAAGTCCTGCACACTTCCTCTCTCCTCTTCCCTACTTCCTCTTGAGGTTAGAATACTAAAGAAAATAGATCTGTTTTCTCCCCCGCACCCCCCAACCACCCCCAGTGGAAAACAGGGTTCAAAGTTAAGTATTCATTGAGGTGATTCCCAAAGTGGGCTTCCAAAGACCTTTCTTATCCCCTCTCCACATTCCCTCCTGTAAATCTCTCATGTGGATCGTGCAGTGTTTGCTGGCCTACCACCTCCTCCCCATGCACTACTGATGTGCTGCCACATCTGCAGGTAAAGCGACAGGTGATTCTTTGAATGCTCCCCACCTTCCCTCACTTCTTCCATTGCAGCCTTTAGTGAATCTGGGGAGTGGGGTCAGAGCTATCCAAAAGGGCACAGAAGAGAGAGCAAAACTATGCCAAAGGAAAAGGGGGGAAATACCCTGAAAAGAACAGACAAGAAGTGTGGGAGGGTGAGAAGGAGACTGTAGAGGAGAGGAGAGACTGGAGAGACAGCAACAACTGTGTGTGACAGGGAAGGGGAGACAGTTTGGGAACCACTCAGAGAGCATGTCTCTGCCTTTGTAAGCCAGCCAGGAACCTATGAGGTAAAGGGAAGATCTCCGTGGAGGCTCTATTGGAAAAAATTCTTGTGGCCTTCTAGTAATCTCTGCTTTATTGGGAGGGCAAGGAGGCCAAATCTCCACCCCTCCACACTCTGATGTTCTAGCTCCTGGGGTCTCTGGGTAAGCCACACTTTTGTCACAACCCCATTGTAACAAGGGTGCATCTCTGCCCCTCGTCCTGATTCTCACTGCCTTCTGTAGACACATTAGCCTCTCCAGAGCAAGTTCTGGTCTGTCCATATGCAGGACAGCTGAAGAGCTGTGGGCAGAGGGTTGGATCATTTGATGACTACCTGTTCTGTTCATTCCCTCTGGGGCACCTGGCATTGGCCACTGTCGGAAGACAGGATACTGGGCTAGATGGACCTTTGGTCTGACTCAGTATGGCTGTTCTTATGTTCAGAGACTGCAGAAATCCCTGAGGAGCTGTACAGTGCTTGTCTTACAGTCTCTGGGTTTTTTCTTTGCAGTTCATGGCCCAGGGGAAAGCTGGGGGCAGCTCCCCTCCGTCTGCACCTCCAAAACCTGGCAGCCAGTTGGACAGTATGTTGGGAAGCCTCCAGTCTGACCTGAACAAACTGGGAGTAGCTACTGTTGCCAAAGGTGTTTGTGGAGCCTGCAAGAAACCAATTGCTGGTCAGGTAAGTCTAAGGCACCATCTTGTTGCTAAGCCTTGGGCTACAGCAAGGAGTAACTGGGAGGGCTGTATCATGAGGCTGAAGGGACTGGCGATGCTGAAGAAACTGAAGTACTCTATTTATCCACTGGCCAGGTACGCTGTAAGCTCCTCCAGTGACCTCTACCCTGCCCTTGAGGGACTGCCCTCTCCTGAGATGATAGGTAATTCAGTTTTCATGCTACCCCAGTCCAGGGCTCACTTGAGTAGTAGAACGTGTAGTTAGTGCCAAACTCTGCCTGGTGTGTTGTCACGTGAGTTGCCACAGCAAAGAAGTAGAGTCGTCCCCCATAACCACTCCATCTTCCCTGCAGGTCGTCACAGCCATGGGGAAAACCTGGCACCCGGAGCACTTTGTTTGCACCCACTGCCAGGAGGAAATCGGGTCACGCAACTTCTTTGAACGCGACGGTCAGCCCTACTGTGAGAAGGACTATCATAATCTCTTCTCCCCTCGCTGCTACTACTGCAACGGGCCGATCCTTGATGTGAGTCCCTGAGCCAGCGCGTGTCAGTAGGAGTGTCTCTCTTGGCCATGCACGGTGGAGTCTGGTTCTGTACAGTCAAGTAGAAAAGCACACGTCCATCTATCCCTGATAACTCCTCTCTTGTAGTTTTGGGACCCCTATTCTTCCTTCACCCTAGTGCTGTAGGGGAAATAATTGGACCCAGTGCAGCTATCTCCCTCCATCTGCTGTAAGGTCCTGCAATGAGAGGGCAGGTTCTACTGAAATAGATTTGCCTCTATTGCAACTCTACTGAACTCAGTATTAGGATCGATCTATTGTCATTGCAGTAAGGAGCTCCAGGTTTTTCCCAATGGGATACCATAGTAAGAGGCATTCCTCCCGAGTTTCGAGTACTGCAAGGGACTGTGCCCCCTTCCCCCACCCCCCGTGGGGGGCCAGAGGAAAGGAGTGGTGTGTCTGACCTTGTTAGGGTAAAGGGGGGGATTGAATCCCCAAGGAGGGGGCTTAGCTCAGCTCTTTAAGCACATTTGATTTTTGCTGCACTCAGCACTGGCGTTTGAGTGCTCACTGTTTGTGGTTTCTCCCAAACAGAAAGTGGTGACAGCCCTGGACAGGACATGGCACCCAGAACACTTCTTTTGTGCGCAGTGTGGAGCTTTCTTTGGACCTGAAGGTACTATTGGTTTGTGCAGAGAGAAGCCACTCTGGTGAAGCAAGTAAGGGATGGGAATGGAGGCAACGTAAGGGGCTGTGATGGGTCCTTTTCATAGAGCAGTGGTCCCCAAACTGTGGGGCAGGTTTGGGGGGAGTGGCAGGGCCCTGTCCAGCCCCCATAGAGGGTGGGGAGGAAGCGCCAAACCCGCTCTGCCCCCAGCTAAGGCCCTGTCCTCTGGCGCTTGGCCTGGCTGTGGCTCCGTACCCAACCGCAGCCCTGGCTGCCACCCGTACTATGCTCCGGGGCCGGCTGTGGCTGCCCTCTGGGCCCAGCCCTGGCTCGGCTCCGCCCGTGCTCCGGGCTCAGCTCCGGCCCCGCCCGATCCTTGGCCCCCGACTGTGGCCCAGCTGCAACTCCACTCCCGGCCGGAGCTCCAGCCCCATCCTCGCCCACCTTACCCTGTCCACACCTCCCTCCAGGAGTCGCGGCCCCGCTCCCAACCGCAGCTCTGGGGAGTGGGGCGTGGACAGGGATAAGAAGGGGCATGACATGAAAAGTGTGGGGACTACTGTCATAGAGGAAGCAATGTAGAAAACTGGGGGTATGAGGGTAGAGACGGACTGTGGCATTACTTAGTGGATGGGGATCCCAGCCACCCTGTTAACCCCATCGAGTCTGGCTAGGTGTTCCCACAAATGAAGGTCACAGGCTGATGCTGTCTGGCTCTGTTTTTCCCTTGTGTCCTTGGCAGGATTTCATGAGAAGGATGGCAAAGCCTATTGCCGCAAGGATTACTTTGACATGTTCGCTCCAAAGTGTGGGGGCTGCGCCCGGGCCATCCTGGAAAATTACATCTCTGCCTTGAATACCCTGTGGCACCCTGAGTGCTTTGTCTGTCGGGTAAGAGAGCCTGTGCTGCCCCACTGTCACCTGACCCCTCTCCCAGTTCCCGTAGGTGGGTGTCTGGTGGTTACCTCGATCAGAACAAGGGATCTGTGCCAGCACAGGACAGCCAGCCCCACAAAATACATAGCGTGATAGTCACCAAGCACCCTCTTGCTTCTCTGCCTGTTTCCATTAAATTCCCTAGGGGCTTAATTCCCTCCCCCATAGCCACAGTTATGGGTTTCTGCAGTAGTTCACTGAGAAGCACAGAATGTTTCCAGTGGCTTCTTAGTAATAGTGAGCTAAGCTTTCTAAGCACTCCGCCTCAGCACCCTGATTTGAGGAGCTTCCTCGTGTGCTCACTCTGGAAATGTAAACTTAATGAGACTGACCTATTTGGACCAACTTGGAAACAAATGAAATAGCTGTAAACTGAATATGCTGTTGCATAGTGAACTGTAATGCTGCAGAATAAATACTTAGCACGTCTTCAAAGAGCCTTGCAAATATTTACCCATCTCCCAGAAGCATTGTAAAGATTAATATCAGCCACGTGTTACCAGGACTGAGGCAGAAAGGCGGAGTTCAGAATGAGGGTCAGAACACGAGTTCCTGTTTCAAATCTTGTGCTCAGACCACTAGTCTGCTTTCCTCTGCTGCAGAGCAGCCAGCATGAAAGGAGTTGGCTGAAGCTGTCCGTTTGAAACTCCATCACTCGAAGACCCCTGTGAATAGAAATTCTAGCAGCCTCTTGTAGGCAGCGGACCAGCTCCGCCCTTGCCTGGACCTGGGTTCAGGCTTTTCTTCTGCTCAGGAGATGTTGCTTGGCATTCTTCATGCTGCTGCCTGTTTGTGGGGCCCGCAACTTTTGGGCGGATTCTGTCTTTCTGTTGTTAAAGTAAGGCCAATTTCTAGTGTTTATTTTCAAATGGAGGTGGATGGGTCAGTAGTCTCAGCATCAGGCTCCCAGGGACCTGCTGCCTTTCAATGCTGCAGGCAAATGGAGTTCCTTGCAGTTCACGGTGTGTGAACATGCATGGATATGCACTTACTGTGGCTGCACTCTGCTGGATGCCTGCATGCAGGGCTCAGTTTGCATTTGCCTGTGACTAAATAGATGTCCAACCATGAGTGCACATGCAGTCATGTGAATGTCCCCTAGGGAGGAAGGATGGTCATGAAGCTCAAGTACAAAACTAGGACTCAGGACATCTGACTTCTGTTCTTGACTTTGCTGCTGACTCATCGTGTGACCCTGGGCAAGTCCCTGAATGGCTGTATACCTCAGTTTCCCCATCTGTAAAATGGGGGGAATTCCTCCTAAAGTCCCATGACTGTAGTGAAGGTACATCCATTAATGTCTGGGAGGGGCTTAGACAGTGATAACCATTATGGAGAGATGGGTGCCTATTAAAAAATTGGTCTCTAACAGCTTCTCTTCAAAGACATTAAAGACCCAGTATCACTTTTGTAAGGGTATGGACTTGTCCCTAGGGTCCTTAGCCAAAATTTCTCCCCCCTCCACATTTCTCCAGTGGCTGTCACCCTCCACCTGCCACTGTATTTCAGTGGTGAAGTGACTCTTGTATGTGTATAGTTTGGGGATGCATGGAGAAGGAGGGTGCTGTACCCAGGGAAAATGCATAATATCTGGCATTCTATATGGGTAATTAAAAAAAACAGCTGGCTGTCACCTTCTTTTTCATTAATATGAGCGTAAGCAGGGCAGATACAGCTAAAGAAATTAAAACCAGCCCAGTGTGACAAGGTAAAAGGTGCCCCTGATGCAGATGCCCTGGAGCATAAGGAATTCCAGGAGAGCCTGGGTTCCCTATCACCTGGGTGAGCTGGGGTGGGTGGGGTGATAAATGCTGCTGTTGTGGCAGCTGTCTGTGCGGATGGGGGTGTTCTCTTCCCTCCTGAGAGGCTCTGGTGTTGCTTACCAAGTGTTCTCAGTAGTTTTGCTCTTGGGTTTGGATTTTCTTTGTGTTAATAAAGCCAGCCTGGAGTAAAGGGACATGAACTATAGTTGAGGGCTTTATTTTCCCTCCCAGTTTCTGTATCTGCCCTGCTTGCGCTCAGTAACCCTGTCTCTGCTGGGCACCGATCAGTCTTTGCAGTAGTACTTCTGCAGCCCCCTTCCCCTTTCTGCTGGATGAAGATGACTCACCCTGCCCACTTCCTGCAGGAGGCAGCTAGGCATGGCAGGCGAAGGCATGGATTGTGGAGTTGCCTGTGTCCCCAGCTTGCCATATCAATCTGTTCCCTTTTGCTTCCTCCTCCTGCAGGAATGTTTCACGCCGTTCATCAACGGCAGCTTCTTTGAGCATGATGGGCAGCCCTACTGTGAGGTGCATTATCACGAACGCCGCGGCTCGCTGTGTTCCGGCTGCCAGAAGCCCATCACGGGACGCTGCATCACTGCCATGGCCAAGAAATTTCACCCAGAACACTTTGTCTGTGCCTTCTGCCTCAAGCAGCTCAACAAAGGAACCTTCAAGGAACAGAATGACAAGCCCTACTGTCAGAACTGCTTCCTCAAACTCTTCTGCTAGACTCATCCTAGCTGGGAACGGGGCATCTTTCTGCCACTCACTAGGCAGCCAAGTCTCTCTGAGCATTACTGTGATTTAGAAACCTTACCAGGGCCGGGGGGGAGGGAAAAGGGGAAGGGTGTGGGATGCTAACTGCTGCTCTAGAGAGACAGTGGATCCAGGGAGACCAGATGGACCATTAAACTGGAAATGCCCATGCTGTGCTTCAGCGGGGAGATGCTGAGCCCCATCATTAAAGTGTTGTATGATCGTTGACAGCCGAGAGGAGCCTGAGGCTCTAGCGAGGAGACGCCTTTCTCAAGGAGAGGGCTGGATAAAGCCAGCCTTGAGTCAGCTCTCCCTGAGCCAACATGTGACACTTCCAAACAAAAGTGTCCTTGGCTTCGCTGGGGCATTGAAATGCTGTGTGACCCAGGCAGTAGCTCCGCTCCTGCACAGCAAAGGCCATGCTGTGACCTCTGCATTGCCTGGGCTGTGCCTGGTCGAGTCCTGGGACACACAGGATTTACTAAGATTACAGCAGCAGCCCCCGAAGCTGGAAAGACCCTGCAGTGGAGTCTTTCCAGTTCAGTAACACTGCAGGGAAGTGATGCCACTTATTTTTTGGAAAGGGGGAGTCGGGGGTTAGTCTGTTTTTCTAGTTTGTGATTCTCTCCCCCTCCTCAACGCACTGGGGCGGAGGGGGTGGAAGAAAACCCCCTCCCTGCTTGAATGGAGTGTCCCATTTTGTGCAGGACACCCCCAGCTCTCCAGGAGTGGTTAGGGCAAATGCTCCTAATTCTGCTGCTCCGGGGTGAGAGAGGACGAGACTGGCACCAATTCATTTTAAAAGAAAATGCAGAGAAATTTGAGGGCCCAGCCCTCCCCTCTGAGTGAATGTAGCTTATGCTGTATGTCTGGCCTGCATTTTACTAAGGAAAGGGCCTGAAAAGCCCCTCTAGGATTTTTTAAAAAGCAAGGAAAAAATAAAGCTACAGACTTCATATTCCTTGTTCATCTTCCTCTCTGCTCTTTGCTGAGCAGGCCTGCAGTCCCTTCTCTTTGATACTGTTCTGTTCCTTGCTCTTGATAAACATGTTCTACCGAGAATCTCTCGAGCAATAACCTTTTATATTGACTGTTACTGGTCTAACAAGTCCCTGAGATCTGGTGTGTGTGACACTTGGAGTTTTGCTATCGAACTGAATACTGTATGCTTTGATAAAAACTGTGGATTTCTACACTGAGGTTTGAATTCCTAACTAATTTTCTTTTAATCCTCTTATACAGAAATTGGTTTTGATGTGATTTTAAGAAAGCTACTTTTATATCTCAAACTGTGCTGTTCTAAGCAGTGTACCAGTTGTGCTGGTTACTGTATCTGTAACCTCAATGCTTGGGTTTAACCAACTATTAACATGAAGTATTTTCTTTTTATTGGGGGTTGGGAGGGCTCTGGGTTTTGCAGGGGAAGGGAACGTGACTTGTATTTTTTTTCTAGCACAAGCAGGTGAGCTGTGAATAGCTCTTTTAATTTTCACAGATCACCTGGAAAGTTTATTTTGTAACCTGTAAACTGCTGTATTTGACTTACCTGCCTTTCTCCCAAAGCCCAACTTCCAGGGTAATAAAGTGAGTCTTAATTCAGTGCCACACGCTGCAAGATGGAGAACTCAAAGTCCACCCTCATAGTTTTATTCCTCTTCAGCCATCAGAAATTAGAGCAGAGGGTTAACTCGGGAAGGTGAGTCCTCCCCGTAGGTGGGAAGGATTGTCCTGGGGCTAAAGAAAAGGGCTGGGAGTCAGGAGACCTGGAATCTGTTCCTGATTCTGCCACGGACTTGGTGTGTAACCTTGGGCCAGTCACTTAACCACTCTGTGCCTCAGTTTCCCCATCTGCAAAATGGGGTAGTATTCCCGCCTTGTAGGATTTTGAGGTTTGGTTCATATTTGTCAAAGGCCTTCAGAAGCAGGGTGCTGTAGAAGGGCAAAGGATTGTGTGTTAGAAACAACCCTACAGTGTTCTACACTAATGGCCAAAGTGGTGCAGTGAGAAGTGGGTTTTAAAATATGACTCTAGAATATTATAGACCTTTGATTATTAAGGCGTGCAACATTAGGGTGGTTATAGTCTTCAACATGGAAAAGGCATAGGGAGTTCTGGGATTAACTGTGTAAGAAACAAACCCTCACTTTAACAGAGGGATCCTAGCTTACTATTTTAAATAACCTTGTCTCGATACTTCAATACCCCACTTGAATAAGTGGAACTGTTTTTCACTGGTTTCCCATACAAATGAGCCTCAGGCTGTGGTTGTGAAAGCAGGGTTTTGTGGAACAAGTGGTAAAACAAAAAGTTACTCTAGCTGGACTGAGCACAGCTTTTGGAAAGTTCACAAGGCAAGAAACTGTCTAAACTGTCACTTTGGATTTGAAATTAGTTTGATTTAAAATTGGGATTTCTGAGCTTCCTGCTGAAACTGACACTTGTTCTGACTCTGCTGGTTGGGAGAACGGTCCTGTGTCCAATGCACAGGATTGGGAGTGGCTCTGCCATTGCATTTCTGTGTGATACTGAGTGAGTTTATAACCTGTGCCTCAGTTTCCTTACCTGTGAAATGGGGATAATACTTAACCTACCTCACTGGGGTGTTGAGGCTTAATTCACTGATATTTCTGAAGGGCTTTGAGATCCTTGGAGGGAAGGTGCTGTAGAAGGGGAAAATCTTGTTACAGTATCCCAATGTCAGAGCAAAACAGTTTCATCCCCTTTTAATAATGGTTTAATAGTCTCCATGACCATTACTGCCTTAGCAAAATGTTGAGAGCTTTCCTGATAAATTGGGATTTAAACTGGTTTGGGGATAGGTCCTATGCTCATTGTTGCCTCCAAATGTTACTTTCCCTCGAGATAGCTGCTGCGAGTAGGAGGGCCAGAAATACCCATTTCACATTTCCTAATTTCAAGTACAGTTTAGACTTGAACATTTGAGATGCTGTACAGAGCAAACTGGGGAAAGGGCTGTGTTAAGATTGCCCTGGGTGATTTGCAGGCATACTTCACGGATACTGATGGTGCTAAAGTGCAGACCAGCAAGTTGTACTAGCACTGTTGCAGGTCCGAGGACATGTCCCAAGGAGTGGTTAGGAGAGGGTTTAGGAGGGGTTAGGCAAGAATGTGCCTTTGGAAGGCTGAGACGGGTTATTCAGGCTTAAACTGGACACAGGAGGCAGGTGTGTACAGTACAAAACCTCTGAGGAGCTAAAGGACTGCGCTTGCAGAGGCCTTGCCGCTGCCCATTCAGAGGCAAGTTAAGCTCTAGATACACCTGTTTCTTTGACAGGTTTTGTGCTGGGGTTACTGTAGTGCTGTCTTTCAAGGCCTTAGTGCTCTGTTTACAATGATCTCCTAATCTGATGAACTCTTGCAGTGCAATCAAAGAGCTGTCAGACAAGGTGGGTCTCAATCAAATCACGCCCCGAATAGCTTGGGGGGGGATTTCCCTCTGGGTCGACAGTTATTTCATTTGTTTTCCCTTGTAAACTTCTAACTCTGCTTTTTCCATTTAAAATTCCTGTGATTATGCTAATAAAATTTTACCATTATTTTCACTTGACTTGGTTCCAGTCATTTCTAATCTTGTGGAAATGGTTCAAAGCATCTGTCGCTCCTCTTGCCTTTCATCATGGAGAAACCAAAGGCCACACTGGCAAGAGCTGAGGAGGGTGATGTTTATTAGTACGATTTCTGCCTTAGCCTGGACAGGGCCAAAGTGCACATCTAGCATGGACAGGGCAGAGATGTAAAACTGAAGGTGCTAAAACAGAAACTGTCACTTGTGCAATAAGCAGATGTGAATCCTGACACACTCACTTCATCCTTCTCAGCCCCCTGCCTCAGCACAATACGCTGGTGTTGCCACACCCTCGTGCAATGCAATAACTGCCCGGACACTGGGTCATGAAGAGTGCTAATACCCTCAGGTCGTTCTCAACCTTTGCATGGTGACAGCAGCTGGAAATCACAACCTACATTTAAACCCCCTGGACTGCATAGTAACCTTCCTGATGCACCTCTGTGCGAAGCACTTGAAATCATGCCACTGATTATTCCACCTAACACCACAGATGTATAGGCTGTTTGCAGTAATAACAATTAAAAAAAAACCCCACATGCCTGAACAGAAAATGTCATCCCTGTCCTAAAGAGCTCACAGTCTAAAGGGACTTATACAGGCCAATGCCAGTAGCACAAGAAAAAGACAATAGGGTTTGGCTCTGGGACTTTGACCTTCACAAGGAATGATCACCAAGAAGCAAATGAAAACAAGGCTTTGGGCATGAACCTGGTCCTGTGTACAATAATGTAGTAAAAGGTCAATAGAAAGCTGCTGTTAATCAAGAAAAAAATCTGTACCCTTCATGGAGACTGGAGTTAACTCCCAGTTTGCATGTGGAGGAACTGGTCTGATTTCCGATTTCTGAGCAGAGGGCATGTGAAGAAAATGAAGTGGCCTTTATAGATCTGAGTCCTAAACTGATTTATTAAAAGCCCCCAGATCCCGCACCACAGCATACAAGCAGCGTCTGGATGGCAGGCGGCAGTACAACAGCAGGAAATTCTAATTAAAATTCTCTCAAGCTGGTTAATCCTAAACCCTTGTGTGCTGTGCGCATGAAATCCAAAAGTTGACAGGAATGCAGTGTTAAAGCCCGCGACTTAGAACTTCAATTCACAATTTAAGAAGTTAAGGATTCTCCTAGCACTATTAACTGGGTCCTGTTATGAGCACAAAATATTTTCCGGATTTTTTTTTCCTGGTTAAACATGTAGCTGACTGTAATTGCTGTTTTTGGTTTAGCACATACACAGGGCCACAAACCACCCACCTCGTTCCTTTTTGCCTGGCTTGGAGTAACAAAATATGTTCCTTTAAACAAAAAAAATTACTTTGTGGAAAAGACTAAAATGTCACCTTCCCCAGTTCTTGCTTTCACGCCTGCCATTTCCTCCTGCCCCCAATAACACAGTGGGACGGTTAGGGCTGGAGAGAGGATTTGACGGTTATTTCATAGCGATGGTTGCAAACTCCCTCATGTTAAGAGTCTCAGCAACAGCCTCTTTGGACAGAAATCATGAGCATTGTTCAGTCTCCACATTCCATTTAGTTCTCGGCCTCCCTGCTTAGGCTGGGCTAGTCCATTATGCCAGCTGGAATATGGTGACCTGTGATGTTGACAGCTGGGGACTAGGAACTTGATTCAGACCTACCAACTCATTCCGCTGGCCCCAAGCCAACAAGTAGATGGCAGAGACTTTCAGTGGTTAATGACCATTCTAAGTAGTTTTCGCTAACGCTTTCTCCTTTCTTGACTTGCTGCACCCCAGTTTCCAGCATAATTCTCCCTTCCCATTAACACAGGACCACGGAGTGCAGCGTCCTGCCGTGGTGGTGGTGGTGTTGGTGGTGTCATTGACTACCATGCTGACTATTTACCGAATTCCCCAAGCTAGAGAACCAGAACTTGTGTGCCTCCCTCTCTGCTACTGGCTGAGTGGCGTGGATCAATCAGCCATTGAGGTTAGGTGGGTCTTCCAGAGAGGGGAGAGGCTACTAGTTGTCTCTCCTGCTATTTGTGCTGAAGGCTGGGGCTACTAGCTAATGGGGCTGGGAGTGATTTGACCTCCATATTCTGCCAGAACCTGGCCATCTGCCTAGAGCTAGTTTACATATGTGACGCTCTGTACCTTGGGGGAACACCCTACACCCCCACCATGTTCATCTTTATAAAATGATTGTGTGGTATCCAATGCAAAGTTTGTTATGTCGGGTGTCTTCGGAAGGCTCATGATGCACTGAGCATGGTTGTTATAGTGATGTGATAGTAATTGTTACAGTAATGTTATAGTAAGGTTATAAGTTATAATTTCATATGTATAGTTTGAGGCTGAAAATGTGTCCTCCTGGCTTAAAGCAAGCCCAGGCAAAAACTCTCCAAGAACAGAGAGGCAGTTCACACCTTTTCAGGGCATGGATGGGACAAACCCAGCCCAGCCTCACAGGAACAATGGACACTGGCTTAGGCAGCAACAAAAGAATCTGTTACGCCCTCGAGGGAGTCACCCCCTTCCTTTGGGCAGTTTGGGACTGCGATGAGGTAATGCTCACCTGACTCTGAAGGGGGGTGGGGCAAAGCCCAGAGGGAAGAAAGGACTTGATAAAAGGGAGAGACATTTTGCCATGCTCTCTCTTCCACCTACATCTACAGACACCACCAAGCGACTGAAATGCTGATCAAAGGGGAGAGCCTGGCTGAAGGGCAACCAACCAGCCTGTGGTGAGAAGCATCTAAGTTTGTAAGGACATTGAAAATGTTAAGATCAGCTTAGAATGTGTTTTGCTTTTATTTCATTTGACCAAATCTGACTTCTTATGCTTTGACTTATAATCACTAATAAATCTGTTTGTTTATCCTATCTGAAGCAGTGTGTTTGGTTTGAAGTGTATCAGAGGCTCCCCTTGGGATAACAAGCCTGGTACATATCAATTTCTTTGTTAAACTGATGAACTTAGATAAGCTTGCAGCATCCAGTGGGCATAACTGGACACTGCAAGATGGAGGTTCCTAGGGTTGTATCTGGGACCGGAGATGTTGGCTAGTGTCATTTGGTTGCAAGTAGCTGGGAGCAGCTTACATGCCAGAGGCTGTGCGTGAACAACCCACGAATGGGGGTTCTCACGGCAGAGCAGGGTAAGGCAGAGTCAAGGATTGGAGTGGCCTAGCAGATCACCCATCCGGCTAAAACCAGAGGGGAACGTCACAACATAAAGAATCTGAACTGCGGCAAGGCATGTCCAATACAATAGGTATTGTAGGATAAGTCCAGGGGTGTTTCTTCTGCAATCCGAGTTGTGACTTCCTCTACATACTGCACGCTAAACACAAAAATGGAGTTCAATAAATAATGCCCCTACTGAGCACTGCCTTGACTGAGATTTCTAACGCGACGTCTGGCAAACATTCTCTCACCCCCATCTAATCCCAGTAACAACCGGCTCCAGGCACTTAGAGACACAACACGCACAGGTGCAACATATACAAGATCAGCTTGAGGCTGAGGATTAAGAACAGGCCCCAGCCTCTGAATATTTTGCAGAGATCGTGGAGGCAGCCACATTTGTATTTAATTTCCAGATCCTCCCTGTTTTTGCCTTTCCCTGCAGGAGTTTGGCTTACACTCCAGCTTCGGAGAAGACTCACAGCTCCCTCTAGGGCCCATTGACAAAACTTCAGAGGTGGGCACAGGCCTCAGAGAACTCTATACAAGAGGCCTCTCTCCCTCTCTTTCCCTTGCAGTCACCAGCCCCCTCCCGGGTGGGTCTTAAGTGCCTAGTGATTTCCATGGATTGAGCCCAGATGACACACCAGAAGCTCGTGTTTGCCATGGATGAGCATTTTGTAACCAACCTTCTATGAATGGGACCAAACACATTTTTAAATCCAGATGGGCTGATCTATTGGACTGAGCTTCAGGCTTGAAAAATCCTGCAGGGACGATGAGTGGAATACCAAGCACTTCACTGTGTGTCTTTAGCGTGAGCCATGAAGGAGGGAGATGCTACATCCCCTGTGCAGCTGTGAATGACCCCTTGCTTTTTTTGTAAGATTAGAACCTTGTCCCTGTTTGTTTGGGCAAAAGGGTCTCTTCCTTCTGCAGGGCATTGGCTGTTTCAGACGTGTCATGTCGCAAACAGTGAAACCCTTTGGTCAGAAATGGGCTTTAGGCCTTGTCTACATGAGAAAGTTGCACCAACTTTATCTTAAAAATTCTTTTTTTAAACCACAATCACCCTGTGTGGAGACTTACTGGGATTTAAGACCATTTTATTTCCGTTGATCTTAAACCTCTTCCTCATCAATTTAAACTGAACTGCAACAGCCATTCCCACTTTTGCACAGGTTTGAAAATCACACCTTTAAATTGAGTCACTTTTCTGTTGAGTCACTTTTCTGTTGTAGATGAGCCCTTAAACATACAATGGTGTTAATAAAGGGCTCCTCACAAAACCAGTCCTCCTGTCACCTCATGGACTCTTAGCCCAGCACTCTGGTGTTGGGGTGGCTGACCAGAATTTCCAGCTGCATAACTAGACCCCAAGCATGTGCTAAATGAAAACAGCACCCTCAACCCTCTAGTCTCCTGCCTAAACTGCTCTCTGCTTGGCTCAATCACTTAACGAGCCAGAATGCAACAAACCAATATGAGTTCGGAGAGCAGCTGCTCCTCTATCGCACTGGCATCCATCTGACACTGGTTTTAATAGAAGTAATTATAATTAAGTGCTGAGCCAGGATCAACTGCCCCCTCCCCCACTTCGCAAAAAAAAAAAAAAAAAAATTCTGCCTCTCGCCAGCCACTTCCTATAAATCATCTCTGCTTTGCCTCAACGTGTATGCGGCAGCAGGAGACCCTTTGTCTGTGGGTGGAGTCTACTGTGCTGACATTTTTTAAACACTGAGTTTCAGTGTAGGAATCTGGACTGCAGCAACTCAGAAATGACTAAAATTACCAGCCTGCCGTGGAGCTAAGACCCATGGATTTGTGAGTTCTATTCCAGGCTCTGCCACTGACTAGCTGTTTGGCCTTGAACAAGTCAGTTCTCTCTCTGTGCCTCTGTTTCCCACTATAGAGCAAAAGCGTCTCAGAGCAGGGGCTGTGGTTCTGATGCTCTCACAAGGTTTATGCTGGTGTAACCCCATTGTTGTCAGTGGAGTCACTCCTCATTTACACTGTTGTCACAGAAATCAGAATCTGGCTCCAGCTCTTCAGAAAGAAAAAATACACTGTATACAAGGACGGCACAATATACACCTAGTAATAAAATGGGGATAATACCTTGCAGGCATGTTGTGTGAGATAATTAGGACCTAAGGCACTTTGAAAATTTAAAGCATTTACAGTTGTACTAAGCCTTATTATTGGAAGAATAGCCCCCTGGTCTTAGATAGAGTAGTCTGAGCCAGCAAATAGTTTTTCCTAGACAAAAAAACCTGCACCAACTACTTGAAAAGCAAATTTCCACTCGGAGGGACCCTTCCACCCATATCCCATTCGTTTCTCACCAGCTTCTTTCCTGCCTGTGTAACAAATTACCCATTTGTCTCCACAAAAGCAATGTTCCCTCCCCTAGCTGTAGCTTCTCCTTGAACTATAAGTGGAATCTCAAAGCCTCCCTTGGTAAAAGACTATGAGACCACAGTGACAGCAGAAAACGGTGCCATTTGGTGCTGTTAGTGTAGACTCTGGGGACGGAGGGGGGAAACGTCTTATTCCAGCTTAGTTATCTGTGATGGTGGCTGGGGAAATAAACTGTGTGTGCCAGGGAAATTGCTAGGCCCGTTGACCGGATCTGTTTCCTTGCAGACTCACTGAGTAGAGGATCCTCAAAGGTCACAGAGCTGTTGTCATGGTTCCTACAGTCTTGCCAACCTCAAAACTCACCAAGAGTTCAACAATCATGCCAATATCCCAAATTGGGGTTAATATATTTAGCAGTCCAATTTAAATATCAGTATTCAAATATTCAGATACATCACTCACAGGAAGTTATACTAGGGGCAACTTGCAGAGAATAAATAAATACAGTGTCCCTCAGTAACTGGGAATTTAAAGTAGGTTGTCTGTGAGTAAATAAGATCCACTAGAGAAGAATTTCATCTGCTTTCCCTTCTTTGTGTCTCATGGGCACTGTAGCTCATTTCTCCTGGTATTTCATCAGGCGGTCAAGGCACATTTATTTAGAACATATCACCAGACATTGGCAATACCAGGAGAAATGAGTTAAAGTTTCAGTGAGAAGCCAAGACAGGTAAGTAGCCAAAATACTTCTTTAATAGACTGTATTTATTCAGGGACTAAATTCTTGATTACTAAGAGACAATTTACACTCATTACATTTACTTTCCACAAGCTACTCCAAGTATAACTTTTCATAAGACCAGAAGAATGGCCATACTGGGTCAGACCAAAGTCCATCTAGCTGTTTGGTTTTATGCAAGTAGAAAGTTGGCAACCTGAGGGTGGGGCTACTCAGGGAGAACGAGGCTTTAAAAAGCCCGCTAAAAAGCCCAGAGAAGCTAGGGAACAGGAGCAGCTAATGTGAGTTTTGCCAGTGAGTTCTCCACATGGAGGAGGAGCCTGGGGTGAGCTTCTGGCTGTGGCTGGTGTGTGTTTGCTGCTTGATTGAAGTATATAGGGTGGTCTGTTCGTTTGAGGGACCTTGTGCTGAGGCATGGATGGATCAAGCCCTAACCAGGGGGTGGGGCTCCTCAGGGAGAACAAGGCTTTAAAAAGCCTGCTCCTAAGCAACCAGAGGAGCTAGAAAACAGGAGCTGTAACCTGAGTTCTGTGAGGGGGCTCTCCAGGTGAAGGAGGAACAACCTCATGACCCCTGGGGTGAGTTTGTCTGTAGTGTGTGTTTGTGGTGCAATATAAGCATACCTAAGGCTCATGTGAAGCAGCATCAATGGGACAAAGATGTAAAGTCTGTGGTTGAGATGGCTTTTTTTAGCAGATGCCTTCAAACAGAATCAAGCGCTTATTGAAGGCAGGCTAGAGAAAGAGGGGTTTAAAGCTGGTGGGAGGGGAGGATCCCAGTCCCTGGGAAGAGAGAAGGGGGCTGGGAGCCTAAACATTCTCTGACCTAAAAACATTCCTCTACTGGTAACTCCTATCCCAAATCTCCTGTAAAAGCAGAAGAGCCCAAAGGTGTGATCAGTGTAATTCCACTGATTGCTGGAGGAATAAATGCCCTGTGCTAGGAGGAAGCAAGCAAACAATAGCTCATTAGTTCTGCTGTCCTCAACACAGAGACCCCCCCCCCAAGCAATTGAAACCAATCATATTGGTTCTGTGAGGTTAGCCACTGCAGAACCAGATATGGAGCATGTTAAGGCTGTTCAAATTGATGGCAGGTAATGCTTGGGGCAGAGGGATACAGGGGCCCAGATCTCTCTGGTTAAGCAGTGTGGGGTCCCAAAGGCCAGTATGTTGCCTGGCCAAATAGCAGAGATTCTGGGGGTGCACAAAAGCAGATTCCTCATACCACGAGCTAAAATCCATGTGGTTTGGAAGGTGTTTTGACTGGGTGGGTAATGGAACACCTCCTATTCGGCCTGCTCCTGGGTAACGATTTTTTCTGTCTACCTCAGGTTAAAGCGTTTGCCTGCAGCAGGAGGGAATTTTATGCTGGGACCCCCCAAGGGGAAGGGGAAGGTCTCAGGAACTTCTGAGAGAAGGGGAAGAGAGTCCCCTTGCTTCTTCTGCAGCTGGGGGAAGCCACATGCTTCTAGGTGGGAGGGTGGTTGAGACCAACTCCTACACTGCAGCTGGAGGCAACACCACATCAGGAAGGGATGGGGGTGTAATGCCTGCCAGGGAGACAACTGTCCAGGTTGCAGCTGAACCAGAGAGAAACCCGGCTCTAGGGAGCAGAGAGATGTGTCCCAGAGAAAGAGCAGGGAATCTCAGAAAGCACTGAGGTGAGTGAGGATTTCTGTAACACAGGGAAGCAGGGTGCTTCTAAGTATGGGAGGGGCTGAGACTAGCTCCTTTCCAGCAGAAGGCCACATGCCCTCAGGCACAGGGGCAGGAGAGGTGTCGTCAGTGATTAAGGAAACTGTCCCAGTTGTTAGCTGGCAGAGTTCTGCAGCTGAAGGAGGGGGCCCAGAGGAGGAAACTGGGGAAGGAATAGTGGAGGTACAGGAGTGTCTCCTCCCTAGTCACTTGGGGCAGGATGCTTAGGACACTAGGAGGATGGCTGGCTCAGCATCCCTGCACCCAGGCACTCTCTCCATGCCTGTCTAAAGATTACCATTCTCTCTTTGGCTTGTCGTCACTGTGTGCGTCCTCTGTGTTTTCTCAAGATAAATGAGCGGTCCTTGGGGAGACCGAAGTGAACACGGAGAGAGAAGTCTGCCTAGAAAATGCTGCAAGAAAAGCAATCTGCCCTAAGCATTCTGTGCAGCGAAAGAGAATCACAGAATATCAGGGTTGGAAGGGACCTCAGGAGGTCATCTAGTCCAACCCCCTGCAGGGCCAATCCCCAATTTTTGCCCCAGATCCCTAAATGGCCCCCTCAAGGATTGAACTCACTCACAACCCTGGGTTTAGCAGGCCAGTGCTCAAACCACTGAGCTATCCGTGGCAGGCACCAGTCTCCTCTAGCAGAAGCCCCTAGCCCCACTACTCTGCCGCAGGGCAGAAGCCCTGAGCTCCCCGTCCCCAGTCTGTGGTAGGTGGAGAACGGACAGGGGGAAATGTGGAGCTCCAGGATCCGCACTGTAACTGTAAAAGAGCCGCATGCGGTTTGGCCACCCCGGCCGGATAGCGCTTGCTCACATTTTCTTTGATCTGTTTTGCTGCAAGAGTTAACAGTGACTGAGTACGTCACAGGAAGTGGGTGGGTTTATGCAATTTAGGAGTATGCGGCAGCAGCCAGGGAAAGCAGCGAGATGAACCCAAGTAACCAGACTGAAAGAATTCTCGGTCCTTGAGCAGAATTGTGTGTTGAGTTCTTGCTTGAATTATTACATTGGAGTCATTTAGGGGGAGCGATTGTCACTGAGAGTTTCCTAGTTGTCAAAGTCTCATTGAGGGCATTTGGTCCCTGTCTGGGAGCTCCTCGTGGTGACATAGAAAGCTGTGGCAGAGGTAGGGCTGCCTCGTTTTTCAGTGTATTGTTATCGCTTCTCGGCCTTTTGGCTAAGATCAAGTGTAGTATCTGTTCTTATCAGTTTAATATCTGATACGTCCTCTATCTGAGGACTATATATTAAATGGATTTTTGGAACAGGGAGATGGAATAGGAGCTTGCTCCATCCACTCCACGCATCGACCTGGTATTGCAGTACCTCCAGGAACGGTGCACCTCCCCTTGGGGAGACTATTGTGGTTAAAAAATAGAATTAGTTGAATTTGGTAGACCCAATACTGACTTGGATTCTCACTATATTCTCTGGGTGGCATATCACTGATGCTTTAAGAACTCGCACACCCCAGTCTGGGTGTATGCTGGTTACATACTATGTATGTATCTCGTGAGCCTTGTAACAGATACGTGCCTTAAGCTTGACCCCGATGTATCCTACCTTCCTTCTTTGTATCCTACCTTCCTTCTTAACTTGCGTGAACTTGATTCCATGTACATAGGCCAAACCGGACTGTCTCTACGCAAAAGAATAAAATGGACACAAATCAGACATCAAGAATTGTAACACTCATAAACCAGTAGGAGAGCGCTTCAATCTCCCTGGACACTCAACAGACTTAAAAGCGGCCATTCTTCAAAGACAGAAACTTCAAAAACAGACTTCAACGAGAAACTGCAGAACTGGAATTAATTTGCAAACTTGACACCATCACATTAGGCCTGAATAAAGCCTGGGAGTGGCTGGGTCACTCCAAAATGTAATTTTCCCTCTGTTGATACTCACTCCTTCTTGTCAACTGTTGGGAATGGGCCACATCCACCCCTGATTGAATTGGCCTCGTTAGCACTGACCGCCCCCCCCCCACACCCTTGATAAGGCAACTCCCATCTTTTCATGGGCTGTATATTTATACCTGCCTCCTGTATTTTTCACTCCATGCATCTGATGAAGTGATACTTACTTTTTAGAACCTGGATTAAACAACTGTGTGAATTAATTAGACTTGGTTGTATTCTTCTCCCCACCCAGCATATGTTCCATGGATCTTGATTTGTGAGACCATGTGAAGGCACTAGGTGTCCTACTGCACCCAGAGGTCCCCGTCCTGATTTCTTTTTTTTTTTCCAAACCTACTATAAAAATTCTAACTCATGATACTTACCGTCTCCTTCTTAGGCTGTGACTTGGGACAGGCCACTTAACGGAGGTGGGAGCCTGCAGCGTGAAGATTAAGGTCATCCACAGGAGCTTTGTGATGAGCGTACATGATCTAGTGCTTGTGGCAGGCTTTCCCACTGTGGAGTGCTCCTCGTTACTCTTCCATTCACTCTCTTTTTGTGGGGATCGATTTACCTCTGTCAGGCACTCAGTGAGAGAGTTGCTTCCCCCGCCCTTGCAGTTGTTTATTTTTCTACCAAGCTTTGAAATCCGAACCAGCAGGTGGCGCCATCGCTCCACAGCCGACCCTAGAGAGGGGAACGTGAAGTCTGCTCTGCAGGCTGAGCAGAGCCGGCTGTTGGGACCCACAGGGCGTGCAGTCGACGGGCTCCTCTGCCCGGCATCGTAGCTATAAGCCTAGTACCTGTTCCAGCACCACGCCCCCACGTAGACTCTATTCCAAATAAAATCAACTTGGTTCCCCCAAATTACGACTCTGCTTGGATGAAAAGCGTCTTCTTCCATCTCCGGTTTTCCATGTACGGCATCCTCCAGGGTCCTCTCCAGCATAGTTCTCGCTCTCGGAGTGATGATGGAGCGCTCGGTGTTCTTGACCCGTGGCAGCAGGACTCCCAGCTCCCGACGTTCCTCCCACCACATCAAGTAGCTGCCGATATGCTTTTCCAGCTGTTGTGTTGCATTGCAGGCATGAGTCCAAAGTGGAGCAAAGACTCCACCGTCTCTTCCAAATATGGCTTCCAGGCGACCTCTTGGCTGGAAGGGGCCACGGCGATTCGCTTCCCGATGATGTCACGCACAGCACTCGCCACAAGGTTCCTCACCGTAGCATCCAGGCACATCGAAAGATGGAATGCGCAAGTGATCGCCGCAGCGTCAGACACATCACCCCTTTGAGGGATGTTGGTGCCTCCCTACCTGTGCTCGTTACTAGCCCTCCAAGGGAGTGACAGCCTCTTCTTCGCCAGCTGCCTTATGGAGCTGTTTGCCTTGTTGAGAGGTACCTTTGCCACAGCAGTTAGCACCAGGAAACCACGATCTGTATTTTTCAGGAGTTGTCGTACCAAATGCTCTCCTTTCCTGGGGCTCTACTGTGTGTCTTCGTGCGTCTGTCACTATTTCCTGTGCTGTAAAGTCAACTTCTTCCAGCACCACTTCATGGCTGAGCTGGGGCAGGGGCGAAAAGCATCTTGAACGCTGCGTATCATTCGGGACTACACGGTCAAACACAGCCATGGAGTATGAGAAGAGTCTCTCGGATGGGATGGCACGGTAGGATGAGGGCCCGTCCGAGGAGCTCCCTCATAGCCTTAGGACAGTTTGACCATTATTGCTTCTGAATCCTGGAATCTGCTGTCGGATCATAGTGGTGACTCAGGTGTTTCTTCTCCCGGCTTCCTGGCTGTAGTTATATCTAGACGCAGGGGCTCTGTGAGAATTCGCTGTGTTCCCCTGATTTCCATTCTTCCCCGATGGAATTTCTGCAGACAGGTCTTTAGTGAGCCTGTCTACAAGGCGGTCAAAGTCATTGAAGGATTCTGTCTCCCATCCCACTCAACTGGTCGTTTGAGGGACCCTGTGCTGAGCCTGGAGACCTGCTAGGCAAGTTGAGAGCTTCTTAAGAAGGCTTTGATGGCCAAGCCCTTTGGTGGGTGCTAACTCTTAATCGGTGGGTGGGGCTCCTCAGGGAGAACAAGACTTTTAAAAGCCTGCTCCTAAGGGACCAGGGGAACAGGAAAGTTTTGAGGGAGATTAGAGGGGAGTGGGGGGGGGGGCGGGAAGAGGAGAAGATAAACTTCATTAACATTCTTTAAACTTAAAGTAAATAAAACCCCCCTGATGAAAACAAAAACAAGAAGAAAGGAAAGAGCTGCAGGAGTAAAAAGAGAATGCAGGCAGAAGTCCAGCAACAGAGTGGGGGCTATCCAGTTTATTGCACTGAACGTAGGATGTATGATTACCTGGCCTACAGGCCGGCGGCAGACTGCTACAACATGGCACACCATGCAGTAAGTTGTTGGACCATCTCTCCCTGGCTGTAGCTCTGAGGGAGTTGAGTGGGATGGGGGATAGTGCCCGACCCTTGGGGCACTCCACTTGACACCGGCTGCCAACTAGACATGGAGCCATTGATAACTACCCGTTGAGCCCGACAATCTAGCCAGCTTTCTACCCACCTTGTAGTGCATTCATCCAGCCCATACTTCCTTAACTTGCTGACAAGAATACTGTGGGAGACATTGCAATTACTTAAAAGCCCTCTTCACTAACGTCCCAGTTTAAAGACATTATGGATCACCGTCGCTTTCTGGATGAAAGGGTCAGCAATCTTATTTACATCTAGGTCCCTTGGTATTGTTTTGGGGATTGGGTGTGTGTGGGTGGGGGGGGGGTGCTTACTGAAGTCTATAGTGCGCATAGGCGGCCAGTTCTAGGGCCCGTAGTGCCTGGGCACCAGGAATATTCCTGGCCGGGGTGACAGTAACTCTGCAGACTTACCTGTATGGGGGCTGGGGCCAGTCCCGGCCCCGGGAGGGGCGGGGCGGGGCGGGGCTGGGGGGTCAGCGTCCCCCAGCCCGCCCTTCAGGCCGCCCGAGCCGCACCACCCGGGGCGCCAGCGGCGGTTTAAAGGGCCGGGGGTTCCTGCCGCAGCAGCCACCAGGGAGGGGCAGCGACGTGACCTCACTGCCGCGACAGCGCGTTAAGGACCGTCCCTGGCCGCGGCCGCGCTCGGACGTCCTGCGACCGCTGCGGGAGGGTTCACTCTTGGGGAGAGGCAGCCGCCGGGAGCCGCGGGCCGAGCTGCTGCCTCTCCCCAAGCCACGGAAGCAGAGGCCCCCGCCCGGCCGCCCCAGCTGTTGGCTGCTGTTTCTCCCGGCAGAGCTAAATCCTGGGAGCTGAAGGGGGGGCCCCCCGCTCTCAGCGGGCGCCGGTCTCCTCCGGCAGAAGCCCCTGGCCCCCCCCACCCTGCCGCAGGGCAGGCGCCCGAGTTCCCCCCGTCTGGAAGGTGGAGAACGGGCGGGGGGTGGGGAGCTCCTGGAGCCGGACTGGACCCGTAAAAGAGCCGCGTGTGGTTTGCCCCCCTCCCCCCGCCAGACAGCGCTTGCGCACATCTTCTCTGATCTGTTTTGCTGCCAGACTCAACGGTCACGGAGTACGTCACAGGGCGCGGCAGGAGGTGCAGAGGGAGGGGGGGTGCGTGGTGCTTACCTGGGGCTCCTGGGCCGGGGGGGCCTCCACGCGCTGCTGCCCCCAGGCTCTGCCCCTGCAGCTTCCTATTGGCCACAGGGGCGCTTGGGGCAGAAGGAGCGTGTGTGGACAGACCCTGCTCACTCCGCCCAGGGGCCGCAGACCGGGGCCGGCAGCCAAGCGGAGCGAGCAGGCAGGAAGCCACCCCGCTGCCGGTGGTGGCGAAGGGTGCCCGGGGATGGAAGGCGGGGCGGAGGGAGAGACCCAGCCTCAAACAGCGCTGGAGTCGGTCCCCGGGCGGGGGTGAAAGGGAGCCGGTGCCCGCCCACACACAGCCCACATTAAAGCGCTGCTTGCTGCTTTTGCCTCCCCCGTCCACGGCCCTGCTGGTCGGGCCAGCACTGGCAGGGCCGCCGACAGGTGAGGGGGGAAGAGAAGAGCGAAGGGGCGGCGACGTGAAAGCGCTGCCACGGCAAAGGACGGTCCTTAAAGCGCTGCCGCAACGGCGCTTTAACGTCCCCGCGCCTTCCCCGTTGGCGCCCCTGCCGGTACGAACCCTTCTTCCCCCTTCCCTCCCCCCGCCAAGCCGCCAACGGGGGCGGGAGGGGGCAAAGGGAGCAGCCGTCCCAGGGCCGGCCATTTAAGAGGGCCTGGGGCTGCTGCTACTGGGCCGGAACCCCCGGCCCTTTAAACCGCTGACCCCCCCAGCCCCGCCCCGCCCCTCCCAGAATGGAAATGGTAGCAGCTAATTTAGGCACCATCATTTTGGATATATAGTTGGGATTATATTTTGCCAGGTGCATTACTTTGCATTTAACATTGAATTTCATCTGCCATTTTGTTGCCAGGTCACCCAGTTTTGTGAGATCCTTTTGGCACCTTAGAGACTAACCAATTTATGTGAGCATGAGCTTTCGTGAGCTACAGCCACAAGTGCCACAAGTACTCCTTTTCTTTTTGCAAAGACAGACTAACACGGCTGTTACTCTGAAACCTGAGATCCTTTTGTCGCTCTTTGCAGTCTGCCTGGGACTTAACTCTCTTGAGTAGTTTTTTGTATCATCTGCAAATTTTGCCACCTCGCTGTTTACCCCTTTTCCCAGATCATTTATGAATCTGTTGACTGGGTCCCAGTACAAGCCCCTCAGGGAAACCACTATTTACTTCTCTCCATTCTGGAAATGGACCATTTGTTCCTACCCTTTGTTTCCTATCTTTTACTGGAGCGCCTGGGAATGCTTTCATGATCTAGCCATCCTTAACTTAATTTAAGATTACAAAAGGCTTGTAATTAATCACCCTGCCTCTGTTTACAATCAAACTCCCTGCCCAAAGGGCAGAAGTTGTTCGCAGCACAGAACTGATCACATTCTACATTGAAGCTCTGGCTCCTGAGTGCTGAGCACCCGCAGAGTCAGCACCTATGGTCCCTGGCTTGTCCGCTGTGTGCTTGCTGCTTGACGGAAGTATATAGTGTGGCCTGGTCGTTTGAGGGACCCTGTGCTGAGCCTGGAGACCTGCTAGGCAAGTTGAGAGCTTCTTAAGAAGGCTTTGATGGCCAAGCCCTTTGGTGGGTGCTAACTCTTAATCGGTGGGTGGGGCTCCTCGGGGAGAACAAGACTTTTAAAAGCCTGCTCCTAAGGGACCAGGGGAACAGGAAAGTTTTGAGGGAGATTAGAGGGGGGGAGCGGGAAGAGGAGAAGATAAACTTCATTAACATTCTTTAAACTTAAAGTAAATAAAACCCCCCTGATGAAAACAAAAACAAGAAGAAAGGAAAGAGCTGCAGGAGTAAAAAGAGAATGCAGGCAGAAGTCCAGCAACAGAGTGGGGGCTATCCAGTTTATTGCACTGAACGTAGGATGTATGATTACCTGGCCTACAGGCCGGCGGCAGACTGCTACAACATGGCACACCATGCAGTAAGTTGTTGGACCATCTCTCCCTGGCTGTAGCTCTGAGGGAGTTGAGTGGGATGGGGGACAGAATCCTTCAATGACTTTGACCGCCTTGTAGACAGGCTCACTAAAGACCTGTCTGCAGAAATTCCATCGGGGAAGAATGGAAATCAGGGGAACACAGCGAATTCTCACAGAGCCCCTGCGTCTAGATATAACTACAGCCAGGAAGCCGGGAGAAGAAACACCTGAGTCACCACTATGATCCGACAGCAGATTCCAGGATTCAGAAGCAATAATGGTCAAACTGTCCTAAGGCTATGAGGGAGCTCCTCGGACGGGCCCTCATCCTACCGTGCCATCCCATCCGAGAGACTCTTCTCATACTCCATGGCTGTGTTTGACCGTGTAGTCCCGAATGATACGCAGCGTTCAAGATGCTTTTCGCCCCTGCCCCAGCTCAGCCATGAAGTGGTGCTGGAAGAAGTTGACTTTACAGCACAGGAAATAGTGACAGACGCACGAAGACACACAGTAGAGCCCCAGGAAAGGAGAGCATTTGGTACGACAACTCCTGAAAAATACAGATCGTGGTTTCCTGGTGCTAACTGCTGTGGCAAAGGTACCTCTCAACAAGGCAAACAGCTCCATAAGGCAGCTGGCGAAGAAGAGGCTGTCACTCCCTTGGAGGGCTAGTAACGAGCACAGGTAGGGAGGCACCAACATCCCTCAAAGGGGTGATGTGTCTGACGCTGCGGCGATCACTTGCGCATTCCATCTTTCGATGTGCCTGGATGCTACGGTGAGGAACCTTGTGGCGAGTGCTGTGCGTGACATCATCGGGAAGCGAATCGCCGTGGCCCCTTCCAGCCAAGAGGTCGCCTGGAAGCCATATTTGGAAGAGACGGTGGAGTCTTTGCTCCACTTTGGACTCATGCCTGCAATGCAACACAACAGCTGGAAAAGCATATCGGCAGCTACTTGATGTGGTGGGAGGAACGTCGGGAGCTGGGAGTCCTGCTGCCACGGGTCAAGAACACCGAGCGCTCCATCATCACTCCGAGAGCGAGAACTATGCTGGAGAGGACCCTGGAGGATGCCGTACATGGAAAACCGGAGATGGAAGAAGACGCTTTTCATCCAAGCAGAGTCGTAATTTGGGGGAACCAAGTTGATTTTATTTGGAATAGAGTCTACGTGGGGGGCGTGGTGCTGGAACAGGTACTAGGCTTATAGCTACGATGCCGGGCAGAGGAGCCCGTCGACTGCACGCCCTGTGGGTCCCAACAGCCGGCTCTGCTCAGCCTGCAGAGCAGACTTCACGTTCCCCTCTCTAGGGTCGGCTGTGGAGCGATGGCGCCACCTGCTGGTTCGGATTTCAAAGCTTGGTAGAAAAATAAACAACTGCAAGGGCGGGGGAAGCAACTCTCTCACTGAGTGCCTGACAGAGGTAAATCGATCCCCACAAAAAGAGAGTGAATGGAAGAGTAACGAGGAGCACTCCACAGTGGGAAAGCCTGCCACAAGCACTAGATCATGTACGCTCATCACAAAGCTCCTGTGGATGACCTTAATCTTCACGCTGCAGGCTCCCACCTCCGTTAAGTGGCCTGTCCCAAGTCACAGCCTAAGAAGGAGACGGTAAGTATCATGAGTTAGAATTTTTATAGTAGGTTTGGAAAAAAAAAAAGAAATCAGGACGGGGACCTCTGGGTGCAGTAGGACACCTAGTGCCTTCACATGGTCTCACAAATCAAGATCCATGGAACATATGCTGGGTGGGGAGAAGAATACAACCAAGTCTAATTAATTCACACAGTTGTTTAATCCAGGTTCTAAAAAGTAAGTATCACTTCATCAGATGCATGGAGTGAAAAATACAGGAGGCAGGTATAAATATACAGCCCATGAAAAGATGGGAGTTGCCTTATCAAGGGTGTGGGGGGGGGGCGGTCAGTGCTAACGAGGCCAATTCAATCAGGGGTGGATGTGGCCCATTCCCAACAGTTGACAAGAAGGAGTGAGTATCAACAGAGGGAAAATTACATTTTGGAGTGACCCAGCCACTCCCAGGCTTTATTCAGGCCTAATGTGATGGTGTCAAGTTTGCAAATTAATTCCAGTTCTGCAGTTTCTCGTTGAAGTCTGTTTTTGAAGTTTCTGTCTTTGAAGAATGGCCGCTTTTAAGTCTGTTGAGTGTCCAGGGAGATTGAAGCGCTCTCCTACTGGTTTATGAGTGTTACAATTCTTGATGTCTGATTTGTGTCCATTTTATTCTTTTGCGTAGAGACAGTCCGGTTTGGCCTATGTACATGGAATCAAGTTCACGCAAGTTAAGAAGGAAGGTAGGATACATCGGGGTCAAGCTTAAGGCACGTATCTGTTACAAGGCTCACGAGATACATACATAGTATGTAACCAGCATACACCCAGACTGTAATCTTGGGTGGGGGGGTTTTTAAAACACCAGGAAAAACCCCCCCAAAAAATATAGTGAGAATCCAAGTCAGTATTGGGTCTACCAAATTCAACTAATTCTATTTTTTAACCACAATAGTCTCCCCAAGGGGAGGTGCACCGTTCCTGGAGGTACTGCAATACCAGGTCGATGCGTGGAGTGGATGGAGCAAGCTCCTATTCCATCTCCCTGTTCCAAAAATCCATTTAATATATAGTCCTCAGATAGAGGACGTATCAGATATTAAACTGATAAGAACAGATACTACACTTGATCTTAGCCAAAAGGCCGAGAAGCGATAACAATACACTGAAAAACGAGGCAGCCCTACCTCTGCCACAGCTTTCTATGTCACCACGAGGAGCTCCCAGACAGGGACCAAATGCCCTCAATGAGACTTTGACAACTAGGAAACTCTCAGTGACAATCGCTCCCCCTAAATGACTCCAATGTAATAATTCAAGCAAGAACTCAACACACAATTCTGCTCAAGGACCGAGAATTCTTTCAGTCTGGTTACTTGGGTTCATCTCGCTGCTTTCCCTGGCTGCTGCCGCATACTCCTAAATTGCATAAACCCACCCACTTCCTGTGACGTACTCAGTCACTGTTAACTCTCAGCAAAACAGATGCAGCAAAACAGATCAAAGAAAATGTGAGCAAGCGCTATCCGGCCTGGGGTGGCCAAACCGCAAGCGGCCCTTTTACAGTTACAGTGCGGATCCTGGAGCTCCACATTTCCCCCCTGTCCGTTCTCCACCTACCACAGACTGGGGACGGGGAGCTCAGGGGCTTCTGCCCTGCGGCAGAGTAGTGGGGCTAGGGGCTTCTGCTAGAGGAGACTGGTGCCTGCCACGGATAGCTCAGTGGTTTGAGCACTGGCCTGCTAAACCCAGGGTTGTGAGTGAGTTCAATCCTTGAGGGGGCCATTTAGGGATCTGGGGCAAAAATTGGGGATTGGCCCTGCAGGGGGTTGGACTAGATGACCTCCTGAGGTCCCTTCCAACCCTGATATTCTGTGATTCTCTTTCGCTGCACAGAATGCTTAGGGCAGATTGCTTTTCTTGCAGCATTTTCTAGGCAGACTTCTCTCTCCGTGTTCACTTCGGTCTCCCCAAGGACCGCTCATTTATCTTGAGAAAACACAGAGGACGCACACAGTGACGACAAGCCAAAGAGAGAATGGTAATCTTTAGACAGGCATGGAGAGAGTGCCTGGGTGCAGGGATGCTGAGCCAGCCATCCTCCTAGTGTCCTAAGCATCCTGCCCCAAGTGACTAGGGAGGAGACACTCCTGTACCTCCACTATTCCTTCCCCAGTTTCCTCCTCTGGGCCCCCTCCTTCAGCTGCAGAACTCTGCCAGCTAACAACTGGGACAGTTTCCTTAATCACTGACGACACCTCTCCTGCCCCTGTGCCTGAGGGCATGTGGCCTTCTGCTGGAAAGGAGCTAGTCTCAGCCCCTCCCATACTTAGAAGCACCCTGCTTCCCTGTGTTACAGAAATCCTCACTCACCTCAGTGCTTTCTGAGATTCCCTGCTCTTTCTCTGGGACACATCTCTCTGCTCCCTAGAGCCGGGTTTCTCTCTGGTTCAGCTGCAACCTGGACAGTTGTCTCCCTGGCAGGCATTACACCCCCATCCCTTCCTGATGTGGTGTTGCCTCCAGCTGCAGTGTAGGAGTTGGTCTCAACCACCCTCCCACCTAGAAGCATGTGGCTTCCCCCCAGCTGCAGAAGAAGCAAGGGGACTCTCTTCCCCTTCTCTCAGAAGTTCCTGAGACCTTCCCCTTCCCTTGGGGGTCCCAGCATAAAATTCCCTCCTGCTGGGACGTTAGTGAAGAGCGCTTTTAAGTAATTGCAATGATTTTAATCTGCTGTAATTCATAAAAATGTAATTATGTAGTTCAAAACTATTTAATTCTTAAAATAGTAAAGATAACAATGAGAGACGTTCAGTAACTAGAATAGGATAGGTTTCAGAGTAACAGCCGTGTTAGTCTGTATTCGCAAAAAGAAAAGCAGTACTTGTGGCACCTTAGAGACTAACCAATTTATTTGAGCATGAGCTTTCGTGAGCTACAGCTCACTTCATCGGATGCATACCGTGGAAACTGCAGCAGACTTTATATACACACAGAGAATATGAAACCATACCTCCTCCCACCCCACTGTCCTGCTGGTAATAGCCTATCTAAAGTGATCATCAGGTTGGGCCATTTCCAGCACAAATCCAGGTTTTCTCACCCTCCACCCCCCCACACAAATTCACTCTCCTGCTGGTGATAGCCCATCCAAAGTGACAACTCTTTACACAATGTGCATGATAATCAAGTTGGACCATTTCCTGCACAAATCCAGGTTCTCTCACCCCCTCACCCCCCTCCCAAAAACCACACACACAAACTCACTCTCCTGCTGGTAATAGCTCATCCAAACTGACCACTCTCCAAGTTTAAATCCAAGTTAAACCAGAACATCTGGGGGGGGGTTATAGGAAAAAACAAGGGGAAATAGGCTACCTTGCATAATGACTTAGCCACTCCCAGTCTCTATTTAAGCCTAAATTAAGAGTATCCAATTTGCAAATGAATTCCAATTCAGCAGTTTCTCGCTGGAGTCTGGATTTGAAGTTTTTTTGTTGTAAGATAGCGACCTTCATGTCTGTGATTGCGTGACCAGAGAGATTGAAGTGTTCTCCGACTGGTTTATGAATGTTATAATTCTTGACATCTGATTTGTGTCCATTTATTCTTTTACGTAGAGACTGTCCAGTTTGACCAATGTACATGGCAGAGGGGCATTGCTGGCACATGATGGCATATATCACATTGGTGGATGTGCAGGTGAACGAGCCTCTGATAGTGTGGCTGATGTGATTAGGCCCTGTGATGGTGTCCCCTGAATAGATATGTGGGCACAATTGGCAACGGGCTTTGTTGCAAGGATAAGTTCCTGGGTTAGTGGTTCTGTTGTGTGGTATGTGGTTGTTGGTGAGTATTTGCTTCAGGTTGCGGGGCTGTCTGTAGGCAAGGACTGGCCTGTCTCCCAAGATTTGTGAGAGTGTTGGGTCATCCTTTAGGATAGGTTGTAGATCCTTAATAATGCGTTGGAGGGGTTTTAGTTGGGGGCTGAAGGTGACGGCTAGTGGCGTTCTGTTGTTTTCTTTGTTAGGCCTGTCCTGAAGTAGGTAACTTCTGGGAACTCTGCAGCTAAGAGGGTCCCTACGCCTTGTCCCTTATTCGTCTTTCCGCGGAATTGAGTGACCGATCCTGGCTTGGCACCGCTGGAATCGAGAGATGCAAGGAGGGTAAGAAGCACCCACACCTGATCTCCTATCTTTAGTGTACACATATTTTGAAATAGAGCTCTATACTTTGTTTTCTTTCTTTGGGATTGTGGCTTCAGTTTTGTAACTTGTTTGTGTGTGTAACATCTCTACATTTAAATAAGTAGGCACTAGCAATTTTGTAACCACATGATTAGAATCTAGCTTAATAAATTTTGGTAACCATTTGTGCATAAGCCTGACTTGTTTTCTCTGGTTTACTGTAAAGCAGCCAACACAATTAAAGAACCTCAGCCGTTTTGGCTCTAAAGCCTGGCCATTAGGTGAGAGTACTAAGAGCCTAGTGTTGAGTTGTGCCGCCTCCAGGGGGAAACTCTTGGGGCACCTGTCAGTCAATCCTGGCTGCCCGCTGTGAAGGAGCTCTGAGCTCTAGCAGTTAAAGTCACGGGTGTGGAGAGGCTCTTAGTGCTGCCATTGGGGCACCTGTCAGTCAGTATTGACTGCCCGCTGCGAAGGAGCTCTGAGCTCTAGCAGTTAAAGTCACGGGTGGTTAGGACCTTGGGGCATCCGTCAGCCTAGCCCGGGCTGCCCGCCGCGAAGGGACAGTGCGTCCTAGCGGTTAAAGTCACGGATGGTATAAACGGGCATAGCTGGCACCTCACCAAACATCCTTGGGCGTCGGCTAACAGAAAATTGGCGTTGTATAAATGCTGACAATTGCTTCCCCCCAAAACTGGCAGAGTGCCCCCTTCACCCTCTCTCCCCAAGCACACCTACCCCTCTTCCAAAGCACCCACCAGTCAGTGCCTGTGCTACAGACAACAAACTCATCCCAAGGGTCACGTAGTCGCTCCTCCTTCACCTGGAGAACTCCCTCGCAGACTCTCCTGTTCCCTAGCTCCTTTGGTCGCTTAGGAGCAGGCTTTTTAGAGACTCGTTCTCCACGATTAGCCCCAGCCCCGAGTGAAGGATTGGCAGGTCCTACAGGGATGGGGGATGAAAGCCTCAAGAACACGCTCTCAGCCTTGCATTACAGTCCGCTAGGCTCAGCACAGGCTCCCTCAAACAAACCCAGCACACCACACACAGACCACAAACTCACCCCATGGGCTGAAAGTTTCCTGTTCCCAAGCATCCCTCATCCCTTAGGAGCAGGCTTTTTAAAGACTCGTTCTCCCTGAGGAGCCCCAAACCCTGCTAAGAGTTGATGGATGCTCAAGGGGCTTGGCCATCACAGCCTCCTTAAGAAGCTCTCAACTTTCCTAACAGGCCACTAGGCTCAGCACAAGTTCCCTCAAATGAACAGACCACACTATATCCTTCATTGAAGCAGCAACCACACTACACTACACGCACCACACCACAGAGAAGAAACTCACCCCAAGGGTCATGGACCTGCTCCTCCTTCATCTGGTTACCTGCCTTGCAAAACTCACATTAGCTGCTCCTGTTCTCTAACTTCTCTCCTCCCTTAGGAGAGGGCTTTTTAAAGCCTTGTTCTCCCTGAATAGCCCCACCCCTGGTTAGGGGTTGATGGTTCCATAAAAGTGCCCTTATGCATGCGAAAGTTTCGCAGCCACTGGGAATCGTCCCAGACCCGCAACACTATGCGGTCCCACCAGTCTGTGCTTGTTTCCTGAACCCAGAATCGGCGTTCCACAGCATGAACCTGCCCCATTAGCACCATGATGCATGCATTGGCAGGGCCCATGCTTTCAGAGAAATCTGTGTCCATGTCCTGATCACTCACTTGACCGCGCTGATGTTGCCTCCTCGCCCGGTATCGCTCTGCCAGGTTCTGGTGCTGCATATACTGCTGGATAATGCGTGTGGTGTTTAATGTGCTCCTAATTGCCAAAGTGAGCTGAGTGGCCTCCATGCTTGCCTTGGTATGGCGTCCGCACAGAAAAAAAGGCGCAGAACGATTGTCTGCCGTTGCTCTGACGGAGGGAGGGGGCGACTGACGACATGGCTTACAGGGTTGGCTTCAGGGAGCTAAAATCAACAAAGGGGGTGGCTTTACATCAAGGAGTATTTCAGGCAGGACTTCACGGAGGGTTCCAATAAGAAATGGTGCACCTAAGTTATTGTTCTTATTGGAACAAGGAGGTTCGTCTGGCCTCTGATACATGGCTAGATTTACCTCGCTGCACCTTCTCTGTGAGTGACTGCAGTGTGACCTAGAGGAATGAGTCCCCTAGACGGGGAGGAGGCAAATGAGTACAAAACAGATCTGGTCTATTTCTTGTTTTGATCCACTCCATCTATCTTTTACATCTTTGGCGGGCAGCAGACGGTGCAGAAGGACTGCATGCTATCCACATCTCATGGCTGCTCAGCAGAAGATGGTACAGTACGACTGCTAGCCATCCTCATCTCTTGCCTGCCCGGCAGAAGATGGTACAGTACGACTGCTAGCCATCCGTATCCCCTGCCTGCTCACCATAAGACAGTTCAATAGGAGTGACTGCAGGACTAAAGAGAATGACCTGGTCAAGTCACTCCAAAGTTAGTCCCTGCGCCCATGTCTGCCCAGGCGCTCCCAGCCAACGTGGCCAGGAGCACCTCGGACATGACGATGACAGCTACCAGTCGTACTGCACCGTCTGCTGCCAGAAGGCAATGGGTTGCTGCTACTGTGTAGCAATGCCGCACCGCGTCTGCCAGCACCCAGGAGACATACGGTGATGGTTACCTGAGCAGGCTCCATGCTTGCCGTGGTATGGCGTCTGCACAGGTAACTCAAGAAAAAGGCGCGAAACGATTGTCTGTCCTTGCTTTCACGGAGGGAGGGAGGGAACGGGGGCCTGACGATATGTACTCAGAACCACCTGTGACAATGTTTTCATAGAATCATAGAATATCAGGGTTGGAAGGGACCTCAGGAGGTCATCTAGTCCAACCCCCCTGCTCAAAGCAGGACCAATCCCCAATTTTTGCCACAGATCCCTAAATGGCCCCCTCAAGGATTGAACTCACAACCCTGGGTTTAGCAGGCCAATGCTCAAACCACTGAGCTATCCCTCCCCCCATCATCCCATTTAGCCCCATCAGGCATTGGGATCTCAACCCAGAATTCCAATGGGCAGCGGAGACTGCGGGAACTGTGGGATAGTTACCCACAGTGCAACGCTCCGGAAGTCGACTCTAGCCTCGGTACTGTGGAAGCACTTCGCCGAGTTAATGCACTTAGAGCATTTTCTGTGGGGACACACACACTCGAATATATAAAACCGATTTCTAAAAAACCGACTTCTATAAATTTGACCTTATTCCGTAGTGTAGACATACCCTATATCCTTCATTGAAGCAGCAACCACACACAAACACACACACACACACACGAAGAAACTCACCCCAAGGGTCATGGTCCTGCTCCTCCTTCATCTGGTTACCTGCCTTGCAAAACTCACATTAGCTGCTCCTGTTCTCTAACTTCTCTCCTCCCTTAGGAGAGGGCTTTTTTAAAGCCTTGTTCTCCCTGAATAGCCCCACGCCCTGGTTAGGGGTTGATGGGTGGTAAAGGGCTTGGGGATGAAAGCCTCCTTATGCAGCTCTCCACTTGCATAGCAGGCCCCATCCATGCCCTGACGAGGTGTGAACTGCCTCTCTGTTCTTGGAGAGTTTTTTGCATGGGCTTGCTTTAAGCAAGGAGGATACATTTTCAGCCTCATAACTATATACATGAAATTGTAACCATACTGTAACAATTACTATAATATCACTGGTTTCAGAGTAGCAGCTGTGTTAGTCTGTATTCGAAAAAATAAAAGGAGGACTTAGAGACTAACCAATTTATTTGAGCATAAGCTTTCGTGAGCTACAGCTCACTGCATCCGATGAAGTGAGCTGTAGCTCACGAAAGCTTATGCTCAAATAAATTGGTTAGTCTCTGAGGTGCCACAAGTCCTCCTTTTCTTATAACATCACTATAACAACCATGCTCAGTGCATGATGAGCCTTCCGAAGGCACCCAACATGACAAACTTTGCATTGCATACCACACAATCATTTTCTAAAGATGAACATGGTGTGTAGGGTGTTCCCCCGAGGTACAGAGCATCACACCTCCCCTCTTAGTTTACTGATCTGAAAGGTAGTTTGTTGTTATAGTTCTCTTGGCATCCAGCCATTAAGGCTATGAGGCAGCGTGCCTCAGTTTCCCCATTCACACACAGCAAACCAGGGTTTTTTTTTTATGTTTTCTCTGCTGTGATAAGGTTTAAACCTGTTTTCAGGTATTAATTGAAAAGTAGCATTCTCAAAAAGTTTAACATCTGTGTTGAAATTCTTATCCCCAAAACTTAACATTAATACCAAAATTTTATCACAGATGGGTGTTTACAAGTATCTTTTTGATACCACACCCCTCTGTTCAGTTAGTGTAGTTTGAGGTTAGTTTGTTCATTACCCATGGTGTCCTTTGACTCTCCCATGTAATCAGTCACAGGCTTCTCTTTCCCTCCAGTGTTTCCCTTTGTGTGGGCTCTTAATTTAATCCTATTTCTGGCATTTTGATGTCTCAGGCTCTGGCAAGATAAGGGTCCAGGGGGATCCTGCACACTGGCTGGCCCTTTGGGGAGTGGTCTCCCAACCCCAGGACTGTACATATGTAGGCAATCCAGCTCCCCTTTTGGGGTTACCCTGTGTTTCCCCCTCCCAGCACTGAGTCCTTCCCTGCCCCCTAGAGGGCTGTGATCATAGAATATCAGGGTTGGCAGGGATCTAGTCCAACATCTGGCTCAAAGCAGGACCAATCCCCAATTTTTGCCCCAGATCCCTAAATGGCCCCCCTCGAGGATTGAACTCACAACGCTGAGTTTAGCAGGCCAATGCTCAAACCACTGTGCTCTCTCTCCCCCCTGCGATCCCTGCTCTCTGGGCTAGCTGTGTTTACCCTTTGATCAGCTGAACCTCTTCCCAGCAGCTTTTCCATAACTGCTCCCCGTCTCTCAGCAGCCTGGGGAAACACCTGCCCCCCCCCCCCCCCCCGTCAGCTGGGTCATTTGTGTTCTGGCCAACGATCACCGGGAAATTTCCTGGTCTAAACTCCCCTGCTGTTACTGGAGCTGCATCCTGATGTAAAAAGACAGTTAGTTTCCAAAAACTTATCAGAAATAGCATCTTGAAAACTCGGGACCTGGATTGAGGTACCCTCCGCCACTCCTCTCTCTGTCCCTGAGAAGTCAGCTCCAGGAGGTCAGTTACACAGGTCCTTCTCAAAACCTGGGTCACAGGCTGAGTGCCTGGGTGCAGGGATGCTGAGCCAGCCATCCCCCTAGGGTCCTAAGCATCCTGCCCCAAGTGACTAATGAGGAGACACTCCTGTATCCCCACTATTCTTTCCCCAGTTTCCTCCTCTGGGCCCCCTCCTTCAGCTGCCAGCTAACAATGGGGACAGTTTCCTTAATGACTGAGGACACCTCTCCTGCCCCTGTGCCTGAGGGCATGTGGCCTTCTGCTGGAAAGGAGCTAGTCTCAGCCCCTCCCATACTTAGAAGCACCCTGCTTCCCTCTGTTACAGAAATCCTCACCCACCTCAGTGCTTTCTGAGATTCCCTGCTCTTTCTCTGGGACACATCTCTCTGCTCCCTAGAGCCAAGTTTCTCTCTGGTTCAGCTGCAACCTGGACAGTTGTCTCCCTGGCAGGCATTACACCCCCATCCCTTCCTGATGTGGTGTTGCCTCCAGCTGCAGTGTAGGAGTTGGTCTCAACCACCCTCCCACCTAGAAGCATGTGGCTTCCCCCAGCTGCAGAAGAAGCAAGGGGACTCTCTTCCCCTTCTCTCAGAAGTTCCTGAGACCTTCCCCTTCCCCTTGGGGGGTCCCAGCATAAAATTCCCTCCTGCTGGGACGTTAGTGAAGAGCGCTTTTAAGTAATTGCAATGATTTTAATCTGCTGTAATTCATAAAAATGTAATTATGTAGTTCAAAACTATTTAATTCTTAAAATAGTAAAGATAACAATGAGAGACGTTCAGTAACTAGAATAGGATAGGTTTCAGAGTAACAGCCGTGTTAGTCTGTATTCGCAAAAAGAAAAGCAGTACTTGTGGCACCTTAGAGACTAACCAATTTATTTGAGCATGAGCTTTCGTGAGCTACAGCTCACTTCATCGGATGCATACCGTGGAAACTGCAGCAGACTTTATATACACACAGAGAATATGAAACCATACCTCCTCCCACCCCACTGTCCTGCTGGTAATAGCCTATCTAAAGTGATCATCAGGTTGGGCCATTTCCAGCACAAATCCAGGTTTTCTCACCCTCCACCCCCCCCACACAAATTCACTCTCCTGCTGGTGATAGCCCATCCAAAGTGACAACTCTTTACACAATGTGCATGATAATCAAGTTGGACCATTTCCTGCACAAATCCAGGTTCTCTCACCCCCTCACCCCCCTCCCAAAAACCACACACACAAACTCACTCTCCTGCTGGTAATAGCTCATCCAAACTGACCACTCTCCAAGTTTAAATCCAAGTTAAACCAGAACATCTGGGGGGGTTATAGGAAAAAACAAGGGGAAATAGGCTACCTTGCATAATGACTTAGCCACTCCCAGTCTCTATTTAAGCCTAAATTAAGAGTATCCAATTTGCAAATGAATTCCAATTCAGCAGTTTCTCGCTGGAGTCTGGATTTGAAGTTTTTTTGTTGTAAGATAGCGACCTTCATGTCTGTGATTGCGTGACCAGAGAGATTGAAGTGTTCTCCGACTGGTTTATGAATGTTATAATTCTTGACATCTGATTTGTGTCCATTTATTCTTTTACGTAGAGACTGTCCAGTTTGACCAATGTACATGGCAGAGGGGCATTGCTGGCACATGATGGCATATATCACATTGGTGGATGTGCAGGTGAACGAGCCTCTGATAGTGTGGCTGATGTGATTAGGCCCTGTGATGGTGTCCCCTGAATAGATATGTGGGCACAATTGGCAACGGGCTTTGTTGCAAGGATAAGTTCCTGGGTTAGTGGTTCTGTTGTGTGGTATGTGGTTGTTGGTGAGTATTTGCTTCAGGTTGCGGGGCTGTCTGTAGGCAAGGACTGGCCTGTCTCCCAAGATTTGTGAGAGTGTTGGGTCATCCTTTAGGATAGGTTGTAGATCCTTAATAATGCGTTGGAGGGGTTTTAGTTGGGGGCTGAAGGTGACGGCTAGTGGCGTTCTGTTGTTTTCTTTGTTAGGCCTGTCCTGAAGTAGGTAACTTCTGGGAACTCTGCAGCTAAGAGGGTCCCTACGCCTTGTCCCTTATTCGTCTTTCCGCGGAATTGAGTGACCGATCCTGGCTTGGCACCGCTGGAATCGAGAGATGCAAGGAGGGTAAGAAGCACCCACACCTGATCTCCTATCTTTAGTGTACACATATGTTGAAATAGAGCTCTATACTTTGTTTTCTTTCTTTGGGATTGTGGCTTCAGTTTTGTAACTTGTTTGTGTGTGTAACATCTCTACATTTAAATAAGTAGGCACTAGCAATTTTGTAACCACATGATTAGAATCTAGCTTAATAAATTTTGGTAACCATTTGTGCATAAGCCTGACTTGTTTTCTCTGGTTTACTGTAAAGCAGCCAACACAATTAAAGAACCTCAGCCGTTTTGGCTCTAAAGCCTGGCCATTAGGTGAGAGTACTAAGAGCCTAGTGTTGAGTTGTGCCGCCTCCAGGGGGAAACTCTTGGGGCACCTGTCAGTCAATCCTGGCTGCCCGCTGTGAAGGAGCTCTGAGCTCTAGCAGTTAAAGTCACGGGTGTGGAGAGGCTCTTAGTGCTGCCATTGGGGCACCTGTCAGTCAGTATTGACTGCCCGCTGCGAAGGAGCTCTGAGCTCTAGCAGTTAAAGTCACGGGTGGTTAGGACCTTGGGGCATCCGTCAGCCTAGCCCCGGGCTGCCCGCCGCGAAGGGACAGTGCGTCCTAGCGGTTAAAGTCACGGATGGTATAAACGGGCATAGCTGGCACCTCACCAAACATCCTTGGGCGTCGGCTAACAGAAAATTGGCGTTGTATAAATGCTGACAATTGCTTCCCCCCCAAAACTGGCAGAGTGCCCCCTTCACCCTCTCTCCCCAAGCACACCTACCCCTCTTCCAAAGCACCCACCAGTCAGTGCCTGTGCTACAGACAACAAACTCATCCCAAGGGTCACGTAGTCGCTCCTCCTTCACCTGGAGAACTCCCTCGCAGAGCTCTCCTGTTCCCTAGCTCCTTTGGTCGCTTAGGAGCAGGCTTTTTAGAGACTCGTTCTCCACGATTAGCCCCAGCCCCGAGTGAAGGATTGGCAGGTCCTACAGGGATGGGGGGATGAAAGCCTCAAGAACACGCTCTCAGCCTTGCATTACAGTCCGCTAGGCTCAGCACAGGCTCCCTCAAACAAACCCAGCACACCACACACACAGACCACAAACTCACCCCATGGGCTGAAAGTTTCCTGTTCCCAAGCATCCCTCATCCCTTAGGAGCAGGCTTTTTAAAGACTCGTTCTCCCTGAGGAGCCCCAAACCCTGCTAAGAGTTGATGGATGCTCAAGGGCTTGGCCATCACAGCCTCCTTAAGAAGCTCTCAACTTTCCTAACAGGCCACTAGGCTCAGCACAAGTTCCCTCAAATGAACAGACCACACTATATCCTTCATTGAAGCAGCAACCACACTACACTACACGCACCACACCACAGAGAAGAAACTCACCCCAAGGGTCATGGACCTGCTCCTCCTTCATCTGGTTACCTGCCTTGCAAAACTCACATTAGCTGCTCCTGTTCTCTAACTTCTCTCCTCCCTTAGGAGAGGGCTTTTTAAAGCCTTGTTCTCCCTGAATAGCCCCACCCCCTGGTTAGGGGTTGATGGTTCCATAAAAGTGCCCTTATGCATGCGAAAGTTTCGCAGCCACTGGGAATCGTCCCAGACCCGCAACACTATGCGGTCCCACCAGTCTGTGCTTGTTTCCTGAACCCAGAATCGGCGTTCCACAGCATGAACCTGCCCCATTAGCACCATGATGCATGCATTGGCAGGGCCCATGCTTTCAGAGAAATCTGTGTCCATGTCCTGATCACTCACTTGACCGCGCTGATGTTGCCTCCTCGCCCGGTATCGCTCTGCCAGGTTCTGGTGCTGCATATACTGCTGGATAATGCGTGTGGTGTTTAATGTGCTCCTAATTGCCAAAGTGAGCTGAGTGGCCTCCATGCTTGCCTTGGTATGGCGTCCGCACAGAAAAAAGGCGCAGAACGATTGTCTGCCGTTGCTCTGACGGAGGGAGGGGGCGACTGACGACATGGCTTACAGGGTTGGCTTCAGGGAGCTAAAATCAACAAAGGGGGTGGCTTTACATCAAGGAGTATTTCAGGCAGGACTTCACGGAGGGTTCCAATAAGAAATGGTGCACCTAAGTTATTGTTCTTATTGGAACAAGGAGGTTCGTCTGGCCTCTGATACATGGCTAGATTTACCTCGCTGCACCTTCTCTGTGAGTGACTGCAGTGTGACCTAGAGGAATGAGTCCCCTAGACGGGGGAGGAGGCAAATGAGTACAAAACAGATCTGGTCTATTTCTTGTTTTGATCCACTCCATCTATCTTTTACATCTTTGGCGGGCAGCAGACGGTGCAGAAGGACTGCATGCTATCCACATCTCATGGCTGCTCAGCAGAAGATGGTACAGTACGACTGCTAGCCATCCTCATCTCTTGCCTGCCCGGCAGAAGATGGTACAGTACGACTGCTAGCCATCCGTATCCCCTGCCTGCTCACCATAAGACAGTTCAATAGGAGTGACTGCAGGACTAAAGAGAATGACCTGGTCAAGTCACTCCAAAGTTAGTCCCTGCGCCCATGTCTGCCCAGGCGCTCCCAGCCAACGTGGCCAGGAGCACCTCGGACATGACGATGACAGCTACCAGTCGTACTGCACCGTCTGCTGCCAGAAGGCAATGGGTTGCTGCTACTGTGTAGCAATGCCGTACCGCGTCTGCCAGCACCCAGGAGACATACGGTGATGGTTACCTGAGCAGGCTCCATGCTTGCCGTGGTATGGCGTCTGCACAGGTAACTCAAGAAAAAAGGCGCGAAACGATTGTCTGTCCTTGCTTTCACGGAGGGAGGGAGGGAACGGGGGCCTGACGATATGTACTCAGAACCACCTGTGACAATGTTTTCATAGAATCATAGAATATCAGGGTTGGAAGGGACCTCAGGAGGTCATCTAGTCCAACCCCCTGCTCAAAGCAGGACCAATCCCCAATTTTTGCCACAGATCCCTAAATGGCCCCCTCAAGGATTGAACTCACAACCCTGGGTTTAGCAGGCCAATGCTCAAACCACTGAGCTATCCCTCCCCCCATCATCCCATTTAGCCCCATCAGGCATTGGGATCTCAACCCAGAATTCCAATGGGCAGCGGAGACTGCGGGAACTGTGGGATAGTTACCCACAGTGCAACGCTCCGGAAGTCGACTCTAGCCTCGGTACTGTGGAAGCACTTCGCCGAGTTAATGCACTTAGAGCATTTTCTGTGGGGACACACACACTCGAATATATAAAACCGATTTCTAAAAAACCGACTTCTATAAATTTGACCTTATTCCGTAGTGTAGACATACCCTATATCCTTCATTGAAGCAGCAACCACACACAAACACACACACACACACAGAAGAAACTCACCCCAAGGGTCATGGTCCTGCTCCTCCTTCATCTGGTTACCTGCCTTGCAAAACTCACATTAGCTGCTCCTGTTCTCTAACTTCTCTCCTCCCTTAGGAGAGGGCTTTTTAAAGCCTTGTTCTCCCTGAATAGCCCCACGCCCTGGTTAGGGGTTGATGGGTGGTAAAGGGCTTGGGGATGAAAGCCTCCTTATGCAGCTCTCCACTTGCATAGCAGGCCCCATCCATGCCCTGACGAGGTGTGAACTGCCTCTCTGTTCTTGGAGAGTTTTTGCATGGGCTTGCTTTAAGCAAGGAGGATACATTTTCAGCCTCATAACTATATACATGAAATTGTAACCATACTGTAACAATTACTATAATATCACTGGTTTCAGAGTAGCAGCTGTGTTAGTCTGTATTCGAAAAAATAAAAGGAGGACTTAGAGACTAACCAATTTATTTGAGCATAAGCTTTCGTGAGCTACAGCTCACTTCATCGGATGCAGTGAGCTGTAGCTCACGAAAGCTTATGCTCAAATAAATTGGTTAGTCTCTGAGGTGCCACAAGTCCTCCTTTTCTTATAACATCACTATAACAACCATGCTCAGTGCATGATGAGCCTTCCGAAGGCACCCAACATGACAAACTTTGCATTGCATACCACACAATCATTTTCTAAAGATGAACATGGTGTGTAGGGTGTTCCCCCGAGGTACAGAGCATCACACCTCCCCTCTTAGTTTACTGATCTGAAAGGTAGTTTGTTGTTATAGTTCTCTTGGCATCCAGCCATTAAGGCTATGAGGCAGCGTGCCTCAGTTTCCCCATTCACACACAGCAAACCAGGGTTTTTTTTTTATGTTTTCTCTGCTGTGATAAGGTTTAAACCTGTTTTCAGGTATTAATTGAAAAGTAGCATTCTCAAAAAGTTTAACATCTGTGTTGAAATTCTTATCCCCAAAACTTAACATTAATACCAAAATTTTATCACAGATGGGTGTTTACAAGTATCTTTTTGATACCACACCCCTCTGTTCAGTTAGTGTAGTTTGAGGTTAGTTTGTTCATTACCCATGGTGTCCTTTGACTCTCCCATGTAATCAGTCACAGGCTTCTCTTTCCCTCCAGTGTTTCCCTTTGTGTGGGCTCTTAATTTAATCCTATTTCTGGCATTTTGATGTCTCAGGCTCTGGCAAGATAAGGGTCCAGGGGGATCCTGCACACTGGCTGGCCCTTTGGGGAGTGGTCTCCCAACCCCAGGACTGTACATATGTAGGCAATCCAGCTCCCCTTTTGGGGTTACCCTGTGTTTCCCCCTCCCAGCACTGAGTCCTTCCCTGCCCCCTAGAGGGCTGTGATCATAGAATATCAGGGTTGGCAGGGATCTAGTCCAACATCTGGCTCAAAGCAGGACCAATCCCCAATTTTTGCCCCAGATCCCTAAATGGCCCCCCTCGAGGATTGAACTCACAACGCTGAGTTTAGCAGGCCAATGCTCAAACCACTGTGCTCTCTCTCCCCCCTGCGATCCCTGCTCTCTGGGCTAGCTGTGTTTACCCTTTGATCAGCTGAACCTCTTCCCAGCAGCTTTTCCATAACTGCTCCCCGTCTCTCAGCAGCCTGGGGAAACACCTGCCCCCCCCCCCGTCAGCTGGGTCATTTGTGTTCTGGCCAACGATCACCGGGAAATTTCCTGGTCTAAACTCCCCTGCTGTTACTGGAGCTGCATCCTGATGTAAAAAGACAGTTAGTTTCCAAAAACTTATCAGAAATAGCATCTTGAAAACTCGGGACCTGGATTGAGGTACCCTCCGCCACTCCTCTCTCTGTCCCTGAGAAGTCAGCTCCAGGAGGTCAGTTACACAGGTCCTTCTCAAAACCTGGGTCACAGGCTGAGTGCCTGGGTGCAGGGATGCTGAGCCAGCCATCCCCCTAGGGTCCTAAGCATCCTGCCCCAAGTGACTAATGAGGAGACACTCCTGTATCCCCACTATTCTTTCCCCAGTTTCCTCCTCTGGGCCCCCTCCTTCAGCTGCCAGCTAACAATGGGGACAGTTTCCTTAATGACTGAGGACACCTCTCCTGCCCCTGTGCCTGAGGGCATGTGGCCTTCTGCTGGAAAGGAGCTAGTCTCAGCCCCTCCCATACTTAGAAGCACCCTGCTTCCCTCTGTTACAGAAATCCTCACCCACCTCAGTGCTTTCTGAGATTCCCTGCTCTTTCTCTGGGACACATCTCTCTGCTCCCTAGAGCCAAGTTTCTCTCTGGTTCAGCTGCAACCTGGACAGTTGTCTCCCTGGCAGGCATTACACCCCCATCCCTTCCTGATGTGGTGTTGCCTCCAGCTGCAGTGTAGGAGTTGGTCTCAACCACCCTCCCACCTAGAAGCATGTGGCTTCCCCCAGCTGCAGAAGAAGCAAGGGGACTCTCTTCCCCTTCTCTCAGAAGTTCCTGAGACCTTCCCCTTCCCCTTGGGGGGTCCCAGCATAAAATTCCCTCCTGCTGCCCCGACTAACACGGCTGTTGCTCTGAAACCTGTACTGCTGAAGTTATGAATAAGTTCTGAAGGCACAGTCAGAATTTTACAGCTGCTGGCCAATAAAATGCTGCCTTAGGAGACGGATAGCAGACTTACTCATAGAAATACTAATTTTACAAGTGCAATTATCTTTTTTCCCCTCAGCCCTGGCCTCCCACCTTGTCTATAATGAACAATTAGTGAAGGGTAGAGGTAGGTTATGGGTATTTGTGTAGCCAAATGTATATATTTTTGTCATATTTGAAAAAAAATTTTCTCTAAATATCTCCTTTATTTATCAACTGATTTTAATAATATTTGAAATGGAGTTTTAAAAAAAAAAGACCCCTCACAGTGCAAGGCCCTAACCTGTAGTTTAGTTAGTTTATGCCTTAATCCGACCTTCACCCCTACGCTATACGGTAGCCTCAATGCTCTTTTCTGCTCTCGTATAACTATCTCAAACAGACAATCAGGCATACATAAGGTATTTAAAGTTTCTTGCAATACAGTCTAGTTCCTTGTGTAACCACGGCACGTACACCCTACCCAGAGCCAATTCTCTACTCTACTCCGCTCAACTCAGGCAAACAAGAATTAAGAGGTAAGCTGTGCAGGGAAATCCTATTGAGGGTAGTTTTCTGATGGTGGGGTGGGTGGCACGACGCATTCCAAAGCATGGAGTAGTAGGGACAAATAACTAAATTAGATATAAAATAGAGCTTGATAAATGTGAGTGGGATTGTGTTATGTGATTAATGTCTGTGATAGAGACTTGGATCGGTGGCCATGTGTTCCCTTTTGGTCCTAAATCTTATGTTCAAAATCTCATGCTTCAGGGATTCAGACATACCCCTCCCCTGATGTATTCAAGGTTTTATTTTTTGTCTTTCTCCTAAAGCGTCTGAGATTGGCCATGGCTGGAGATGGGACATCAACTGGGATGGCTCACATGCTCACGGTCAAACTGAGCACCATTTTTTAGGTCAAGAAGGAATTTTACTGTAGGGGCTTTGGGTTTTTTTCAACCTTTCTCTGCAGCATGGGGTGTGGGTCGCTTGCTAGAATCATCTAGGTGTATCGCACCAAATCAATTCCCTACCTTTGCAGGGCCTCGGGCATTGGTGCACTTCAGTCCCTCCTATTCTTTGCCTGTGGCAGACACAGTTTAGTTTCTGGATGGCTGTAATACTTTAGTCTAATCCAGGTTAGTGGGCTCTTTGCAGGGGTAGCTGGGAGGGGTTTAGTGGCCTGGGACGTGCAGGATGTCCGATTAAGGTCAGAAGAAACCACCAGATCATGTGATTCACAGGGCCACAGCCTGGTTCTTCTGCTCCTATAAATTACCCCTAATCTGGGCAAACCATTTACAGAGACTTTCCTAAATTAAAATAGTGAGGTTTTCTCCAGGGGAATGGGATGGAAAAATTCTCTCCTGGTAGGAGGTGGAAGAGAGAGAGAGAATGATCCTGACCACACAATCAATTCTGGAAGGTATACTAAGTACCTACAGAGAATAAAAAAAGGAAGCAGCAGTTTAACTGACCTATGAACAATAAAGTAAAATCTGCAAGAGCAGCCTTTCAACTCAGAGGGCTAATAAGAATAAGCTACAACTAACCAACCAAAGAGAAGAGTTACAAATGAATGAAAACACATTTCTTTGCTGTTTTTCAGCTAGGACGTGTACCATTCCTCAGTTCAGTGCCCCCACCTCCCCCAATGTAGTCTTATCTAGCCTCACCTGTTCCTGGGGGGTTTTCACACACACACACCCAGGCCAGCGCAGCTGGGCTCTTTACTCGTTTCTTCCCCCTCCCATCTTGTGAGACCGGTGAGGAGAGACTCTGCCAGCTTCTACCAGGGCTGACCTTCACAAGGCAGTTGGAGCATCTCGTGTCATCACCAGACAAGCTCCTGGCCT